ACATGCGAAGAAGACATCGCATACTCGTTATTCGGCGTCTTTGACGTCCGCCTACGTGTTGATTTTGGCGAAAAGATGCAGAATGCGCTCGGGCGGCTCCTGCAGGAAATCGTGGCTCAGTCGGGCGATATTACTGCCCTGGATTGGGTCGGAAAGTCATCAGAGTTCAATAGCTGTCTACCAGCCGACATCACTTTATACGAAGCTCCACCATGCAAGCTGCCATCTCTATCCGAAGATGAGATTCAGTCATCTATCTCATCGCTGCGAGGTGTTGTGACTTTAGAGTCAGCTTCGAAATTGTATCAGACACTCGACTACCTGAGCGCTCCCCGTTTTGCGCACCGTCGGTTGCATCTGCCTTGCATTGTATTCCCAGTCACAGAAACCAGGCGGAAGCCAGGTCGAGACCAGGACACACATTCGTATGAACTCCAATCAGACGGCCTTCATAACCTGCAGATCACCACAGCAGATAAATTGATCCCATTCTCCCCTGCAAGGCCGCCGCCCCGCCTGGCAGACGATCTTGCTTGTCCGTCCATGGAGTCGCGATCTCCTTGAGCTGCATGACCCTGCAGACGATATGCAGAGCGTGGAAGACTGGTCTGTTTCTGGAACTCCGTTACACGATTCACCCGCTGCACAAAACGAGCCGGTTTCTTCGGATTGTCACTCGCGAGCATTGCGATTGATGGTTCGCCTTGGACAGCCTTTTAGTGCATTTTTGCTAGCGCGGCAGCGCGACGGAGAATTCAAGAGGATGGCGTCGGATCATGATATCATTGCACAGGTTAAAGACATGATTTCTGTTGACAACATGATGGACATTAGGACACTAGAGATACTGTAGCTGTATGGAGTTGTTTAATACAGGATATATAGTCAGATTCGAGTGCTGGGATATATTCTAGAAGCTTTGAAGACAGGAGTCGGACGCATGTATGCACTACAGAGGTGCTGGGAGGGTATACTGTCGAAGACGGCAGGTATGACAATAGGGTGCATTCTCATAATGGTGATTGAGGCGTGGAAGTCTCGTGCCTGGGCGTCTATGGAAACGAAGCAAGTCGAGGCAGTGAAGCAGGATGAACTTACACACAATACACGCACCTCTGCAGCCTAGAGCAAGACACCCGCAATTCCTCCAAAGTCCATCTCGACCGCGCCCAACGCCATCAACCTCCAGTAAGATGTCGGAGCTCATTCCAATCACTACACCCCTGCGACAGTTCAAAGGTCATGGAGGCTGGATAAAGGCCGTCGCAGTTTTCCCTGATAAACGACGGATGATTACTGCCTCGGACAAGACGGTTCGTCTGTGGGACTTGAAGACAGGTGTTGTGTTGAAGAAGAAGAAGGGGCATAACAGCGTGGTGCAAGCATTGGCAGTATCACGAGATGGGCTGATAGCAAGTGGTGGTTGGAACGGAGGGATGATCGTCTGGCACGGAGAAACCGGGGAATTACTCACGCAATGTTTCAATGCTCACTCCAGTTGGATCTACTCGCTGGATTTTTCTCCCGATGGAACAGTGCTAGCCACAGCTGGTTCACGTGGCGGGACGACGAAGCTGTGGAATACCAAAACCGGGAAGCAACAAGGAGATCCGATCAAATTTGGTAGTGACGTCAACTGCGTACGGTATTCGCCATCTGGAAAACTTCTTGCCATCGCAACAAATTCAAATATCGAAATTTATAATTCAGCCACAAGGAAACGCGTCGCATCCTTCAAGGCTCACACATCACGAAACTTGTCACTTGTGTGGACGCCCGATGGCACACGCCTTCTCACAGCCGGTGATCTTTTCGACCCTACCATACGCGAATGGGATACAACAACCTGGCAGCAGGTCGGTGATCCCTGGATGGGCCACCCTCACTATATCAATGTCATTGCCGTTAATCCTGCTGGCACACTTGTGGCATCCGCATCTGGTGACCAACATATCCGTCTCTGGCAGCTCTCAGATCGACGAACCATTGCCATATTCCAGCACTCATCTGCGGCGTTATGCGTCACTTTCTCCGTAGATGGCAAGCACATCCTCAGCGGAGGTAAAGATAGGATGATCTCGGAGTGGGCAGTACATCAGCCAAAGGCATGTTACCGTTTCTGACCCATATACCATAAATCGAACATGTTTCGTGCAGATCCTAGCCATCACGACAGCCCGCAATGCATGCATAGATGGAGATTTATCTGCCGCCGAAGAACTACTCACCCAAGATATCAACACCGATGTCAACAACTATACTTCTTACGCCCATCGCTCATTCGTGATGGCGCGACAACACGACTGGGACCGCGCCCTTCAGGATGCAATCAAAGTGAGATTCACTGACCCATCATAGCCCCATTATGAAATGCTAACTCGACGGTGAGATAGTCGATCAAGATTCAGCCCTCATTGACAGGCTATATCTCCAAGGGCATTGCCCTCTGCGGAACACGCCACATTCGGGACGCGAGGGCAGCATTCGATGTTGCGTCCATGTACACAGACCAAGATCCACAAACCATCCATTTCCTGCTCTTGATCAAGGTATGCTACATTTGCCTCGCATGCCCTCCGCTTCATCCGGCACTTCAGGCCATCGCCTTCTTCAATGCAGATGAACACGACGAGGCAAACCTGCTCCTCAAAGAACTCATTATCGGCTGTCCGAAGGCTGATACTCTCGCGTGTCGTGTCGTGCAAGTAAGTATCATCCACGCTTGGCTATCGACACTCATCTTTGCAACTCGTACAATAGGCATATCTACGTGTTCAACTTGGACTCAAAGCCATAGGTGGTGAGCGTCACGATGAAGCCGCCGATCACTTCACTGCCGCTATCAACTCCGGCGCTTTCTCGTCGAAATTCACTCATGAAATATACGAAGACTTGATTGTGGTGCGTCAAGATGATGCATACATAATGTTTTTCATAACCGAGTGTCTTATCCAGTTCTTTGGCTGGGACCTGAGGTCCTTGTGGCAAAGGGCACTCCAGAAACGGTGTGATGCACTCCTTCGGGCAGGTAAGCTTCAAGATGCCGTGAAATCATACCGATACATGATGGTCAATATCGATGAAACAACGAAGGCCAGCTGCCTTGAATGGTCCAACGGCAAGTCTGGAGTTCGTGATGTCGCGCAGGCTACGATCCTCACCTACATTTCACTCAGCTTTCACAGAAGAATGCAGCGCGCTCTTTCTTGCCAATGGAGATACCGCTCTCACTGCAAGAAATTATGACAGGGCCATTGACTTATACTCGGCGGCGATTAACTTAACTTCTGCATCCGATGTTGTCTTTGCAAATCGTAGTAAGGCAAAATTGGGGAAAAGGCTGTGGATGGAAGCACTTCTCGATGCGCAGAAGGTGCGATGGCATTAGTGGTTTCTTAACCTATATTCATTGTGGTGATACACAGGTCATCCAACTCAACCCTTCGTCTCATATTGGATACAAGTTGAAGCATGCAGCTTGCCATGGCGCACGACGCTATGACGAAGCAATCCAGGCCTTCCGAATCATGCTTTCAAAATTGGAAGATGCTCCCGACACCGAGACGCGAAGTAAGCCCTAATAGCTCGTACGTCAACATGTTTTGACTATTTCTGTAGAGTTGCGCCAGCAGTATCTCAGACCATCCGAAGTGGACCGAGTTATTCGAAAAGTCATTGATGTTCAACTTGACAACGCTCCACTACGCGTACTCGACACCACCGCCGGTCTCTTATGCGATCGAGAGGCGCAGATACGCACCTTCAAAACGAGCATAGAGTATAGAGAGCTTGTGTCATCAACAATCACGCATCGAGTAATCGAACTGAAGCGTGTCGAAGAAGTAGTGATGACGTACTTCCAATATGCCATGCTATCGCACAGGTGGGAAGGCAAGGAGCCGCTGCTGCAGGATATTCAGGGCAAGGTCGTCTATAAGTTGGATCCGGTTGGCGGCATCACGAAGTTGCAGTCCTTCTGCAAAACTGCTCGTGATTTAGGGTATCGCTGGGCATGGAGCGATACATGCTGCATCGATAAGAGCAATGATGCTGAACTACAAGCATCGGTCAAGTCCATGTTCATCTGGTATCATCACTCCGCGCTCACAGTCGTATATCTCTCGGATGTTCCGCCTTCGTCAAAACCTGGCGCACTGGCAAAGAGTGCTTGGAACACACGCGGATGGACGGTCCAAGAATTCCTCGCTCCCAACATCATTCTATTTTATCAGAACGATTGGACTCCTTATCTCAATGATCGCACTCTAAACCACAAGGATTCTGTTGCGATCATGCAGGAGTTGGAGTATGCGACGGGCATAGATCGACGAACCGTCGTGAACTTCCGTCCCGAGATGAGAGGGGCCCGAGAGAAACTTCAGTGGGCGTCGACACGTATCACCACGTTGCAAGAAGATATCGCATACTCGTTATCTGGGATATTTGGTATCCGCCTACGTGTTGATTATGGCGAGAGGAAGCAGAACGCACTCGGGCGGCTCCTGCAGGAGATTATAGCTCAGTCGGGCGATATTACTGCCCTGGACTGGGTCGGAAAATCATCAGAGTTCAATAGCTGTCTTCCAGCCGACATCACTTCATACGAAGCTCCACCATGCAAGCTGCCATCTCTATCCGAAAATGAGATTCAGTCATCGGTCTCCTGGCTGCGAGTTGTTGTGGCTCTAGAGTCGGCTTCGAAATTGTATCGGACGCTCGACTACCTGAGCGCTCCCCGTTTCGCGCACCGCCGGTTGCATCTGCCTTGCATCATATTCCCTGTCACAGAAGCCAGACGGAGACCAGGTGGAGACCAGGACACATATATGTATGAACTCAAGTCAGATGGACTTGATGACCTGCAGATCACCACGGAAGACAAGTTGATCCCGTTCTCCTCTGCGAGGCCGCCGCCCGCCTGGCAGACGATCTTGCTTATCCGTCCATGGAGTCGCGATCTCCTCGAGTTGCATGACCCTGCAGACGATATGCAGAGCGTGGAAGATTGGTCTGTGTCTGGAACTCCGTTGCACGATTCACCCGCTGCACAAAACGAGCCGGTTTCTTCGGATTCTCACTCGCGAGCATTGCGTTTGATGGTTCGCCTTGGACAGCCTTTTAGTGCATTTTTGCTAGCGCGGCAGCGTGACGGAGAATTCAAGAGGATCGCGTCGGATCATGATATCATTGCAAGGGTTAAAGACACGACTTCTGTTGACAACATGATGGACATCAGGACACTAGAGATAATGTAGCTGTAGGGAGTTGTTTTTAAAAATCTACGAGCGATTTTGGTTTGTACCTTGACGATCAAACCTGTATAATACTATCATATATGCATACACAGATACCGACTCGAAAGCAGCTGTCGTTAACTTGATGATTCGTCTACGTGAAAACTTGGAAGTGGTGAAGGATGGCATGAGCCAGGCGAACATGGTAAAGGCATTTTCTCCAGATCCCTTCGGCATATTGGTTGCTAGGAAGAAGCACACAAGGTCGACATAGTTATGCAGCATTGACATTGTCAGAACTTACTCGGAATCCACTTATTTCATCGTCAAATCCTGACGCGATCATGACCGTACGAATCTGTTTGAACTTTGAAGCGACTCTTCAACGCGGCTTCAATCTAAATCTACAACTGTCAGTCGCAGTTTTCTTGAACACAAGAATACACGCTTAATATACTACACACAATCCGTGAGTTCGTAGAACTGGATGATGAGACGCTGCCTACTACCCGCTCGATCTGATCGTTGCACAATCCGCGATCTCAGTATCTCCCTGCAAAGGTATCAGTCGAAAACATGTTGCCCATTGTGGAACTTCTATACACTCGGACTGTCAAAGCACCTGGAGAGTGATGGGTGCTGCCATCGATTGGCCATCGGTCAATCGTTTTTTTCCAAGACAGAATTGCGCCTAGCAAAATGCGAGGTCCAAGTTGGATATGATCATTCACGCTACATAGCCTGGAGAAGAAGTCCACACGTTGCAGACCGCAAACATGGAGGCGACCCTGTCGATGTTGAAGTTTTGAGTCACTGCTGGAAGGTTCAAATGACGTTAGCGAGGCTGAGGACTGAGTCTCAGAGATAGTCCTCACTCTCCTCGAGAAATATTGAGTGATCTGTTCAGTACTGTGTAGTCTTATTATACATCGAAGACCATCGAGCCCCTCGGTAAGCTCACTGTATGGCGAACGGCTCACACTCGAGGCTGCAAATGAGCTCATCACAATATTACTCGAACACAGCTGTAGACGTCAGATGTGTATTTGGACGATAAGATGGCTTGGTGCGGGCCCCATCGTGTCGTCCTCATAAGTATGGATCAAATCTTATTCACTAAGGAGACGGTACATGACGTTCGAGAATAATCATAGGTCGATCAAAATCGATCACGTAGCGCCGGGCACATGGTAATCGGGATGGGAAAAAAAGAACTGAGGTGAAACTCACTTGGTCTGTCGGCGATCGAGGTATAGGGACTGTTGGTTCTATGATATATGGTGTTCTCAAATACCCGCGATGACGATCCTTTGAACGCAGGGTTCGCTGAGGTTAGCGACCATATTGCACTAGTACTTCTGTGGTACGTGATTTCAATGATGATGGACTTGGGAGGGGATCGGCGAATGAGAGAACTGAAACCAGTTGGGCCGGGAGTGGGCGAAGCTCAGGGCAGATATGAATCATGAGCAGAACACTGGAAACAAAGCGCTCCTCCGTGACAGAATTGGTGACAGCTCTGAGATGCCAGAAGGGAGAACTTCAGCTGCGTCTGGTGCACAAGCAGACCTTCAGAGTTGGTAGGATGAAGGGGTGATACTGCATTAAGCTATATGGATGTGTTCAAAGGAGTGACATGGTGATTATGGCTGGAGTAGCTGCTCGACACGAAAAACAATGATATGCATGCACTCATGCAAGATAGATAGCCAGATTCGAGTGCTGGGATTCATTCTGGAAGCTTTAAAGACAAGAGTGGGATACATGTATGCATTGTAGAGGTGCTGGGACGGTATACTGTCAAGGACGGCGGGTATGGGATACATTCTTGCTGCAACGGTGGTAGAAATGTGGAGGCGAACAGCCTCGTGTCCTGAGCGTCTATTGAAATGGGGTAGGTTAACAGGGAAGCAGCATAAAATGTACAATACACGTAGCTCTGCAGCTTAGAGAAATACGCCCAAAATCCCTCCAAAGTCCACCTCGACCGCGCCCAACGCCATCAACGTCCAGTGAAATGTCGGAGTTCATTCCAATCACTACACCCCTGCGAGAGTTCAAAGGCCATGAAGAAGGCATAAATACAATCGCGGTTTTCCCCGATAAACGACGGATGGTTACAGGCTCAGAGAACAAGACACTTCGTCTGTGGGACTTGAAGATAGGATTGTGTAGAAGAAGATGGAAGGGCATCGCAGTGAGGTGTGGGGATTGGCTGTATCACAAGATGGGCAGTTGATAGCAAGCGGTGATAGAGACGGAGAGGTCATCGTCTGGCACGGAGAAACTGGCGAATCACTCACCCAACCCATTGAAGGTACCTCACTGAATTTTTCTCTGATGGGACAGTGCTGGCCACTGGTTCAAAGGATGGAATGACACCAAAACGTGGGAGCAACAAGGAGATCCAATTGAATATGGTACTAGTAGTGAAATCGACTGCGTTCGGTAGACGGGGCATCTCAGGTTTAAATTTGACGAACGGTTCTGGATATACGAAGTCGAACGAGATCCTCAATAGCTATAGGATCCTAGCTGGACCAGGGGTGCCATTGTTGGGCAAAGGGGATGTAAGTACGATGTAATCTATAATTAGAAACGCTATTATGGCCTGGGCGCCTTTAAGCATCCGATCAGTGCTTACTAATCGAGGAGCGACCCAATAAGGGACGCGTGGCTGTACTAGCGTCTTGTCTTTCGACTACTTCGTCGTTTGCCCACTCGCCGTTCGTTCTCACCCACCCACCACTGTGCCCTGTTTTTGTGTCTTGGTAGTTTTTGGGTTGCGTCGTGCACCTGCAATTTCTTAACTACCTCACACCGTGGGCTTGGTTTTGTGCACTGTCGTTCGGTGTTTTCTCTCTTGGACTTTGTTCGAAACGTCTCGTATGCATTTGTGCGGAAGACTACGTGTCACGTGACCTGCTCAGGCTACTGTCTCTTGAGCATAGAGTTACAGTACAAACGTTTCGAAATCCTGACCTCCATATGAAACCCCTGGCAGTTGTTCTCACTGGGCTAAAGCCGACTGACATAACCGCCTCCCCCAACTGGTGAAAGACGTATCAAGTCTGTCTAAGCGCTTAATAGCATCTAGCCTGCTGTTCCAGATTCCAGGACGACCTATTCAAGTGTCGAGATTGCTAAGCGCGCAAAATAATCAGAAACGCTTACTATAGCGGTTTTCATTATTTTGCGCTCTTGGTCCTTATTTCAGTCGAACGAAGCAAGTTACTAGTAAGCACTGCATTTGATCATTGATGGTGACTGAGTGGCTTAATTTGGAAATATATTCTCATGGCAGAAATGGGTAGCGAAAGACTGCGCTCACCTGAATACTCCTGGGCCCTGGCTGCTTAGCACAAAGCGCCTACCTGCGCACTGACCTCCTAAATGTCCTCAGCGAGGCCGCCGCCGCCGCTCTACACAGGGCGTAGCTCACGGCGTGACCACCAGTCAGTAGCTTCTGCTCATTCTTCAAGTTCATCCTCTTCACGTAGCAGTCGTTCGCACGCACATGTGAGTGCACTTGTCTGCCATGTAATAACTGTCTTACCAGGTTGTAGCCCGCAGTCGAGTCTGCCGTCACACGTCTTCTCGTGGCTATCAAACAGCTTCTTGAGTCTCTCACCCAATGGAGCACCGGCAAAATGGGCAAGATCCAGGTGAGCGACGTATACGTCCGCCTCGGGGATGACTTCAACGCGGCTGTGACTGCGTTTTCTGCATATAATATCGATATGTCGTGCGTGCCGTTGCCTGCAGGTATACATACCCTCAACTGCTAAGTATAACCCAACAGAGACCTAATGTCCGTGCCTGAAGACCTACGGGAGGTCCTCGAACCCTGCCTAGCAGAGGAGGCCACGCCAGACAACCTGGACGTGTATCTACCCACAGTGCGCAAGATTGTCACCGATCTCCTTCAGGGTCTCCGCGGCAAGCAGTCTATGTACCGTCGAATCGTATCAGAGCACCAGAGCCGACATCGCTCATCAAAGTCTGACAAAGCTTCGCGGCGTGATGACGATTTGAGACATCGGTCGCAGCTATCGCGTACCATATTGGAGGAGGAGGGGGAGGGGGAGAGGGACAGCACGACAAAACAGTCAGTAAGATCGTCAGCAAGACGACAAGACCCGAGGATGCAGACACCTCCGCTAGCATCCCCGCCACCCATATTCCGCGAACCTGACGATGAAACGCCGCCTAATGAAAAGATGATCACGAACAGTATCAATGGGCATACCAGTGGAGGCTCAGCACAGCCTCAAGCTCGACAATCGCAGAACACGTACAAGTCCGATGGTGACGCGCGTTCGCGCGACTCATCAGAGACCTTGGTCGCACCTTCCGTAGCAGCAACTCCACATCATGCTCCACCCAGCGAGTCAGACAAAAATTTACCGCAAACGCCTCAGAGTACTCCCGTGCCTGCCTCCGTCAAGCGCTATTCGCTCGTCGATAGACCAGTTTCCTTGTCACCTCTGTCACTCCCTGCAGTGCTGATAGATGAAGCTCCTTTCACTCCTGTCGAAATCTCCTCGCCACAAACTCATCTTATTGATAATCTGCAAGCACCTGCAGTCGCCAGCTCCCTGGCCACATTGAAGAAAAGCGACGTGCTCGAGCGGCGTGCGTCGAGGCGCTTTTCGACGTACAATATCACGAAAATGACAGGCTCACGGGAGCTGTCAGGTAACCGGCGGACAATAGCAGCAGGGCCATTGCTGACGCCAGGGGACTTAGCGGTTCTAACGGAAGTGGATGAACCGGACGTTCAGCGTACTGGCAGCACACGATCTAACAGAACGATCGCGCGAATACCCTCGCCCATAGCCGAGGCGGAGGCAGCCCCTCCTGTTCCTCCACTGCATCCACTAACAGAACCCGCGCGCTTCCAACGAGCTCGTGCGCTGCCTGAAGCGGACAACGTGACAGACAAGCCAACGATCTTTGAAGAAACACCTGGATCTATTTCGCCGATCACGTTCTCAGTTTTCTTACAAGTCGGGCGAGAAGTCAAGAAGGTCACCATCGAACCTGGTCTGTCCTTTTCGTCGTTGCGGATGTTATTCGTGGACAAGTTCTCGTATAATCCGGGTCTGGAGAATTTCCCTGCGATATACATACGCGACCCCTCTAGCGGCGTGCAGTGTGAGCTGGAGGACATCAAGGAGGTGAAGGAGAAATGCTTACTATCTCTCAACATCGAACGTGAGTGTGGTCTCATTCCCTATGCTTTCAGTCTGATCTATTATATTCAGCGCTCGATCAAATCAAACAACACATCGACTCCCAGATATCAACGTTGTCTAATGATCTCAAAGAACTTCACACCGCAATTTTAAACGACCGTCGATCGTCCCACGTGAATCCTATCATTGCCCATGACTTCGTCGAGAGCACACCTAGGGCAGATCGACCATCCGAAAGGCAACTACATAATGTCGCACGTAGGCTATCACGCATTGTGGGTGACGCCAGTTCGAGCGGCAGTCCATTCATGTTGCCTCAGATGACTGGACAGTCTCTTCAACTACAGCCGCAAACGACGGGGGCCTCGATAATGTCCGAGTACTCCAATCGAGTGGTAGATGATTTGAAGACGCAATTCGACGAGGTACAGAACCTGCGACGTGATCTAGGAATCATGAGGCAGTTGTACACGGAGTTCATGAAGTCGACAAAGGATTCATTGGGCGCTTTGCGGACACAGACACAGTCCGTGAAGCAGTTAGCCTCTATCAAAGTTGGCGGTGCACGGGGCTTCATAGATCAGGGGAAGACGAAGTTGGACTCTCGGAGTCAGAACGTGCTGACGAAGGTAGAGGAGTTGCAGGACACAGTGGAAGCACTGCGAGATGACGTCCTCAAGCGCCATATGACACCCAAGCCTCAACTAGTGAAGCAGATTCAAGAGGACATCGCTTCCACTGCTACGGAGCTGACAAGTCTCAAAGAGCACATCGACACCGTCAGACCTATGTGGAAGAAGACGTGGGAAGAGGAGCTGCAGAACATCGTAGAAGAACAAGGCTTCCTCAGTCATCAAGAAGAATTCTTGACCGATCTCCTCGAGGACCACAAAGCTTCGGCGGACGTCTTTGGGCATGTTGAGAAGGTCATTTCCATCCGCGGCGCCACCCCCGGACGCAATATCAGAGGCCGCGGATTCAGGCCTCTTCCAGCGGACGAGGGGCATACTGGCCTGAGTACTGTTATGATGGAAATTCGGGGCGCTGCGGTTGACCCAGAGCGACGGACAAAAGCAATCGAGGCTAACCAGAAAAATCGGGAACGAGAACTCACGAGCCGGTCTGACGAATTTCAGGAGGAGCTGACAGGATTTGTGGGTGGCAAGAAATTGCGAATGACAGGCGGAGCAGAAGAGGTGGATAGAGTGTGGCAGAGAAGGAATGAGTTGGCGCTAAAAGCGATGTTCAACAACACACCCGTATCCGTTGACAACTTATCAGGTTTCCCGACTTCCCCAAGTCCTGCTTGATGGCTAACATTACTAGATCAGAACTTCGACGCGGACATTTGGTAGTCACTGTCCTTGTGGAACCTGTATTCTATGCTTACTGGGACTTGATTTTCCGTGTTACACTTTGACTACATTAACCATTTGGAGAGTACACTGACATTGCTTTTTTTTTCTGTCATAGTACTTATGTTGATTTATTCGCAGGTGAGTTTTCGGATTTGCCAACTACATCTTCTAATTTCCATCCTAGCGTTACATTTGGATTAGCAGAGAACGAGTGCTATCAATCGCTACAGTCTTAAGACGCGGACGTGGTTGAGCAGGCGCAGGCTACATCAATGCTTCCTACCTCGTTTATATCGGTAAGTTCTCAAAGCAGAATCTGAGGTCACACAAGAAGAGATCGAGGCTGCCTGCCTTGACGCTAATATACTAGATTTTATTCAATCACTTCCAGAGTGAAACCTCAATTCTACGCACACTCGAAGCTCACTGATATTATAACAATAGTGGGTTCAATACCGAAGTCGGTGGCAAGGAATCCCAGCTTTTGGGGGTCAAAAACGTGTGCATCATTCATCGACAGATACTTTTCTTTGTACATTGAAATCACGATCCAGAACATATAGCAATCGCTCGCGCACTGCTTCGGAACCCAAAGGTTCTTCTGCTTGACGAAGCTACATCAGTTCTTGATTCAAACTCAGAGAAGGTCATGCAAGAAGCTCTTGTATGGAAACCAGACAGCCGCGCTCCCTTAGTCAGTGTCACGCGTCCGTAATAGGTAAGAGGACTTGGTGCACCTTCGAGTCAGCAAATTTGTACCAGACCTTGGTTCGGTTTTGAGCAATTTTTTTCCATTATTCTAGGATTCGGAGCATTGTTCAACCCATACTGTAGATTTGCTTCGAGTCTCCATCATTTGATTGATGATTTTCCTATGATGACTCGCGCTCATTCGCTGTCGGTCAGAGCGCTGATAATCGCCACTACTACTAGTATGTGCGTGACCTCCTGCGTGCCCGTCCGTGTACCGAATATTGTAGGTGACTTGCTTTTCATCTTTACATAACTTCGTTTGGTGGCTCCGAGACGTAACTCTGCTGCTGAACTTCTTCATGAGCCTTTGCTCAGTCGAGCAAACGCGCGCGCGATATTCCTCGCGTGCCAAACTCTCCGAGACAGACCAGACTGAATTGCAGTTGTCCTATTGTCTCGCCCCTGTTCCAATTTCCTTACCAATGCTTGTTTTCTTGAGGGGCTTTCTTGCCTTGGCTTTGGTCCCTCCTGTCTTGTTGGTCACAATGGATCAGCCTTGCAGGCGATGCTGTGTCCGTCGTATCTAAGCCTGCTTCGAATGAACGAGTTTCGCGTTGACCTCTCTATTGATATCTCCATCCAGTCGCCCGGGTCTTGCTGCGGTAATCGAAAGTATGTTCCGCCCCACATCAACACAAAACAGGAGCGCACGCAAACTACACATATCAGAATGATATGGCTCGGTCTGCCACTTTCAATTCTCCCACCTTTAGCTTTCGAATCATCCTCGGTCGCTTTGGAAGAGCCAACGACAGAAGAAGTGTTCCTAGTGTTCATCGATGAGACTTCAGCGAGGCTGGGGAGGTTAAATCATCTGCCTGACCGTCAGACTCATTGTCCTTAGCTTGCGTGCATTCTTCTGGCCTCCAGCTCCATCCATGTTTCATTTGGTGGCGAATCCCGACATTTTTGGTTAGTCCGTCGAGAATCCAGGTTGACACGTACACATCTCAGGGATATACCTTGTGTTTCTGAGACGATCCGCACGAGGCGTGAAGGTGAATTCTATTTCATGGACAGACTATCACGTAAAAAGGAGGTTTCGGCACAATGACTGGGCCTAGTTGAGACGGAGCTCTGAGGATCTATACACTGCAAAAATGTTGTCAGGAGGTTTCGAACCGACTGCAAGAGAAACAGATTTTGATTCTGTTGTGGTAACCACTTGGTTCCGTCCAGTTTTGAATGAGGCTCCGATCCATCCATGAGTGAATGTCAAAGCGTGTTCCGATAGAAAAAAACCTTGTCGTGGGCAGGTTTCGAGCTTGCGCAAGTCCGACAGAAACATATTTCGATCTTGTTGTAGGAATCACTTTGGCCAGGCGAAGTTGAAATGAACCCGCGAGGAAATGTCGATCAGTGAATCTTCAAGGCGTATTCTGAAACAAAAAAACCTCGTCGGCAAGTGTTGAACCTGCACTGGTACAGCCCAAGAGACAGATTTCGATTCTGTGATAGTGACCACTTTGGCCAAGGCAAAGTTGAGATGGACCTCTGAGGAACTGTCCATCAGTGAATCTTCAAGGCATGTTGGGATAGAAAAAACCTCGTCGGCAGGTTTGGAACCTGCACTGGTAGTGTCAGTCTAAGAGACAGATTTCGATTCCGTTGCAGTAACGACTTTGGTCAGGGCGAAGTTGAGATGAGCCTCTGAGGAACTGTCCATCAGTGAATCTTCAAGGCGTGTTCGGTTGGGGAAAAAACTCATTGGCAGGTTTTGAACCTGCACTGGTACAGTCCAAGAGACAGATTTTGATTATGTTGCAGTAACCACTTCAGTCAGGGCGAAGTTGCTCCGAGGAATTGGGCGTGTTCTGATAGAAAAAAAACCCTGTTGTTCGGCAGGTTTCGAACCTGCGTAGTCCAAGAGAAACGGATTTTGATTCCGTTGTGGTCACCACTTTGGCGAGGACGTCCACGTGACAACTTAGAAGCGGGGAAGGATGGGATGAGTCAGGCGTCGGTCCAGTGTCCTCACCAGATAGAGCGACTAGCGGTGGCTCCAAACCTCCATTAAAGGTATCAGAAAAAGTCGATGCACCATATGAAGGCGCATCGGGATTGGCAATATGGACATCAAACGCCATGTAAGATACATCGAATTCAAAGTAGTCGCTTGCGAGAGATTTCAACAATTTGATGTCTCGTGCTTTTTGGCAGCGACAGAACTACAGTTGACAGTAACGCAGAAGTATCAGCAAGGTTATACATACATACATCAAAACTCATACCTTTCCGTAAAAGTCCCATGGTTTACGATGACGCTCGCCTGTTCCAGGAAAGCGTTTACCCGCACATTCATCATGAACCTTCCATGAGATTGGATTAGCAGTACTAACAATTCTGACGGAAAAAAAGTGGGATTTTTAATGAGTTCCTGATCTCACGAACGTAGTTTGGGGAGAATTTCTTTTCCGCTTTACAATGCACGAGGACGCGGACGCGCCCACAGGGAAGTGTGATTGGGGTAGACTGGGAATCCGAGCCAAAGGGAAGCCACCGTCAACCCAGCAAGTTGCCATCAGATTTGCCAGTAACTGACATGTTTGAGTAACATCGAGAAACATTCTTGAAGAGGCTGGAGTGACCCATCGCTCGAATGCTGTTCCACGTGCGATTGTAGATCATAGCATGCCGCTTTGCATATTACAATTAGCTTGAGTTAGCGTGAATGACGTTCGTCTAATTGGTGAAAGAAAGCGCGAGATCTATCATCTGACCGCTGCAGCACTGGTAGTGGGTCTGTCAATCGTCTCTCTGTAAGGACATGTACGAAATGGCCAGTCTGTGTCAAGTGTGTGCGGCAGACTCCGTCCCAAAACAGAGGCATAAGTTCGTGACTTTGTGCTTTCATTATCAAACTAGGCCTATTTTGCGCCGTTCTTCAAGGACAGATGGCCGAGCGGTCCAAGGCGCCAGACTAAGGAGACCAGCTCATTTGATGAGCTAATCATCTGGTCTCTTCGGGGGCGTGAGTTCGAATCTCACTCTGTTCAAATCTTTTTTGTTCTCGGATGACAAACAAGTACTACACATTCCAGTTGATTGTACATTTAGTTCATATGGGTATGATCTTACGGTCAGATCAGGGTGAAGTCCTAATAAAGTAACGGTTTTCATTGACAGAACACTCCAGTACCGTGCGGGAGAGTCGAGTAGTCATAGTACTACTTTCCCATTCTCCTTGTGTTGCTCGCACTCAACGTTGCCAAGGGCAAAGGTCGGTCACTGCATCATTAACTCAGGTCCAGTTGTAATTCACATCAACTCAAACATCTGGCTTCGGTTGCTACGAATCATTCTTCTACTGACTTCTAGCCTCGTTTCCGTTATGTCTTCACACTGAACACTCCACTGCACGGGGTACATGTGTTATCTAGTAGATAGGGCTCAGCCCTGATAAATGGGATTGTGTTTAACAAGGACTTCCTATGGTACAGTTGACGAACAGCCATACCAGTCCCACTCATCCGCTCTCCAAGCTGGTCCAGCAGTGAGTTCCTGATCCTATTGTATGAGCGTCATTGTGGCTTCCGAGTCTGATCATGGCTCTGTTGAACTGAGCTTCCGTACAGACTCATCAACAACAGCCTTCCATGTCGTATTCTCCGCTCTGAGCAGGGCCTCCAGTTCGTCCTTGATGCGTCTACAAGTCCCTACACCGTCATAACCAAAGCCAGTGTATACTTGAATCAGTGAAGCACCCGCCCGAGCATAATCCAATGCATCAGCGCCCGTGCTAATTCCCCCGCAGCCGATCAGTGGAATACTTGCAGGGACGTGCGCGCGCAGCGTTTTCAAAACCTGTAATGCACGCGGCTTCAAGGGAGCACCCGAGAGGCCGCCCATCTCAGATTTATTGGCTGTTCCAGATTATATTGATGAGTGATGAAATAAAATGACGATGTATTGACTCACGATCCGTAAGACTTGCGGGACGACTGATAGTAGTGTTGCTGACGATGACGCCATCAATGCTGCTCTTGCGAATTAGATCTGCAATATCGATAATTTGTGATTCCTCGAGATCAGGTGCAATTTTCAGCACCAAGCGCGGTCGCCGTGCAGTTATTGGTGATGGCTCGAGTTCGTCTCGGGCTTTTGTAACACTTGTAAGTAAGTCTTCCAACAGCTCTCGATTTTGGAGACCGCTGAAGGGTCATTAGATAACGCCAGAATGATGGTAAAGGTCTTACCGAAGTCCGGGTGTGTTCGGGCTAGAGACATTGACAACCAGAACATCAGCGTACGGGCCGAACGTCTTCACACCAGTGACAAAATCATCCGGAGACTCAACCGGAGAAGATTTATTTTTACCTAGGTTGATTGCAAGAACTGACCCGGGTTTGAGGGCAGCAGTTGTATCGTCTTTCGTCTCATGAAATTTGGGTATGCGAGCGCGAAGGCGGGAAATCATAGAGGCAGCGCCTTGTGAGGGAAATCCGTAACGGTTGATGAGTGCCGCGTCATCAGGAAGGTGAAATACGCGTGGCTTCGGGTTTCCAGGCTTGTACGCTGATCAGACATGGGTAAAGAACCACCAGACATGATACACCTACCTGAGGTTTTGGTGTGACACTTCCGATTTCGACCCAGCTAAAGCCGAGATTAAGGATACCTAATGCACTTGCATCGATAGAAGGTCAGAGATGAGTCAGAGGGAAGCGTACCGTCAATAGCTTCGCCATCTTTGTCAAAACCAGCTGCCAAGCCAACGGGATTGGACAATTCACGCCCCAAAAACTAATTCGAAAGACTGAGTAACTCAAGCCAACCTTCGAGTGAAGTAGTTGTGTACCTCAGACCGCAATCTTTCATCATCTTGCACAGGGTCCCGCGGGCCAAGTCCGCTACGAAGGACTTTGACAGCAATCTTGTGCCCAGTTTCTGCATCGAATGTACGGCGCAGTACAGGTGTCAAAACATAACGGTGGATTGCGGAACGCGCATCATAGTAATAGACAGCAAACAGACCAACAGAAGCAGCGAATGCCGTCGCGTAGACAGCAGTGCGGGCAGAAGACTGGGAAGATGAGGATGCTGTCGTTAACCTCCGCGCAAAGACTGGTGAATGATGAGGAGCTTGTCTTCGTAGAACATGCCGGAAACCGGTGGTGCGGAGGTGCGTGACAGCCATACTCGTTCAAATACGCAGGAAACTGCGTTCAAGTGAAACTGTGCAAACGTTGAACCGAACTAAAGTTGTAGTAGCAGTCCGAGAATAAGCTTGTTTATGTACCAAATTCGAATTCACGTCACAGTACTAGTCAACATAGTATGTGCTGGCTGCTGTCTGCAGTTACCTACACTAAACCCTCTGGGACCATATGTCGCATCAATGACACGTCACTGGCGGACTATTCTGGCTCGTACATAACGTTTACGCAGTTTAAGTGACGAGTCCCAGTGCACACCATGTGTCTGCAGCTGGTAGCGGCGACTACTAGACGTTTCAATGCAACTTGGCGAACGGAAGGACACGTCCTAGAGAGCTTTGCAAGGAAATTTTGTTTAATCATTTTGACATTAGTTCGCGTTAAGTTCGTAGAGGTTCGTAGTCAGTCCGGACCAATCGAAGGAAGATTTTAAGTTCACGAGTTTTAATCACGCCGTTCGATGTCGACAGGCTTGAACATCATCATCCAACGCGTCTCTGACTTATCTTGTGTCGAAGATGGCAATTTACACGTCCCTGGCAGTACCCGCTGTCATTTTAAATCCTTCTGAAAGGTGTCTGCAATGGTCAGACGATGGCCAGGCTTGCATTACCACCAAGGCAGCCGTGCATGTCATGGTAAGAACTCTTTGTCAAACTTCGGGGAAGGAGGTACCTTATTTTTGCATTCAGACCCCAGACTCGGGTATTAACTTCAGCACACCACCCGATATCAAGGCACTTCGAGGAGATGAGCAAGGAGAGCAGCCGCTCGGGTGGTTCAGGACGATGATCGAGCCGACTCGTGGACAGACACATATGTGGCCAAGTATATGTCAAGGTAAGCATATACCTGAGATTGCCCCTCCTCGTTATTGGTTTTGAAGCTTGGGATGATGGTAAGATTGGGGCGCTGTTACTCTCGGATCCCTCGATGTTTCCCTTCGTGAGGTTGCGTGCTCTCCTAGTAATCTCACATCACGGGGAAGGTATGTATCTCTCACCGTTTGTTTGACATGCAGCTGATATGTACCTTCGAGATGCGTGATAGCCATTCTCAACTCGAACGCTGAAGTATCACTTTGGGCGGCTGCTAAGAATCACTTGAAGGGAGAATGGAGCAATGTGAGAGCTGTAATCCATGTTGCTTTATCCGAACCTTGAATTTTGTGGAGATTCAAGACGTTACAGGTCTGCTACTCAACACAGCCTCATCTGAGGACATCATTCGTAACACCCTTCGAGCGCAAGTGACTAGTCTGTGACTCTGTAGTGTGTAATGACATATTCTGACATCCTGGTCAAGGTCTTGCCTGGTCCAAACAGCCGGACTATAGAATCACACCTACCCCGATCCTCGATTCATCGATGCTTGCCCTGGGAAACAGGGCGGGCTGCATTGAGTTTTTCAGGTGCGTAAATGCGGGTCTTTTTTTTTTGGAAATACGTCCATCTTATCGTCTTATTGTGTGCAGGTTTAACAGAAACAGCAACTCAGAAGGTTCCCTCTCGTACATCCATACAGAACCATTGAGCGACCACTGGATCACGCATTTGAGCTGGGTACCTTGGATTACTCACGCCGTCGGCCATTGTAAGCTTTCTCGTGCCTATCGTACAAACGGGATCTTTATTATGGCGAAGGCGAATCCTTACTGGCCTTCTCCACTGATAATGGGAACGTGGGACTGGTCAAAGTCACACAAAATCTGCAGTCTACTCCGAACGTTGGTTTTGTGCCCGAGTACAGGACCATGTGCTGTATTCGACGTTCAAGGTCCAATATGTGAGGCTGATAAACGAAGCGTGACCACATTAACATGGGTTCAACCACCAGGAAGAAACGTACTTTTTGATCTTCTTTCTCCGATCTTACCTGGCTCTGATCGTATTTTTCAGCCCATCCTCGCGTACACAAAACCCGGCCTTGTGTACCTGTGGTCATGGCCTGGTTCCGAACCAACTTGGTACGGCACCCGCATACTCCCACTTCAAACCCAAAAGTTGTCCGTCGGATCCTCTGCCATTAGCCCTGTCTCTGGAGTATCCTACGTGCTTCACCGCGATGCCCTCATCCTCTCGCTTTTCGATGGTTCCTTGCATGCCATCCATAATATGACTACGGAACCTACCTGGAATCCTCCGCTCGCAGGTGACATCCTCACATCTGCGGAACTATCTCGGGCATCACGAGCATTGTTCGCCAAAGTTACTCCTGCGGGAATTTCATACTTGGATATCAACAGAATTGGTGGGATGGCGTCGTACGACTCGCAGTCGACCCTCATCTGGATATACGAGTAAGTGACATCAATGATATCATTTACAATCAACCCACAGATGCGTTTATTTTTCTAGATCCCTTCGACCTACGGATTTCAGCTACAAGCATGAAGCTCAGCACGAATGTATGCTGCTCACTGCACCATTTTGGCAGCTCGACGATGAGACCGTCTTGCACACTACTTCAGAGGCTTTTGCTGATATTTCTTGTGGTGAGTCGAACACTCGATTTTTCATTAGTCATTTGACGCTTAGATGGTTAAGCCTCAGGATGTGCCCCCATTCACCATTTGCGTGCATTAATGCTTCATCTACGCAGTAATGCGCGCTTCGCGGCGCTGTGCCCTCAGGTACTAGAGATTTTATCGCAAGTACCACCAGACCAAACAACGACCATAGTCTTGCCATCCTGGACGCACGGATTGAACGATGATTTGCGACCCCAGCTTCGGAAAAGTCTGACTACTCATTTGTTTGGCTGGCACAATCTCCTATCGCTTCGAATGAGGCTCTCCATAGCCGACCTGTGTTGGGTGCGCGAATCAAGATCGTCCAATCCGGTACACTTACAGTATAAATTTGTTCACAGAAACTAAGCAAGGACCCGGAGATGCAGGCACAGTGTGGTCAAGTCGCACAAGGCCTTCTAGCCGCTATCTCACACTGTGTGCTGCGGATACTTGTTCGTCACTTGAAAGCCATCATCCCCGTCATTACTGGTGCGCCGGCGGTCCACTCTCTTTTCTTATTCACTGAGCCCTTGTCACAGAGCCTGATATCCCATTCGTCCTCCGCGAGGTGGTACAGTCATTATTGCCCGGCTCACCGCAAGATCTAGCAGACGAAGCTCAGGCCTTATCGGACACTCTCACTACATCATTCTCCATCGATCCTGCAATCGCCGCGCTGCACGAACACTGTCCTGCTTGTCACGCCGAAGTCCCACTGCATGACATCACCCGTGCAACTTGTCCAAACGGTCATGCCTGGGGTACGCCTCCCTCTTTTGGCAAAGCACATCTCATGTTTTCTCTCATTAGCTCGCTGTTCGGTCACCTCGTTCATACTCTCGACGTCAAAGGTGCGCACGTGCATCGGATGCAGTCGGAAAGCCCTGCTTCCGTTTGCGGCGTCGGATGAGAGCCAGTTGCCTGCTGCTGCACAGAGTTGGATCGTGAAGGATTTGTTGGAGGCTGTACAGCGGTGTTTGTTTTGTGGGAACAACTTCGTGGAGATCGTGTAGGAAATATGATGTATGCGTTCATGCATCGGCGAGTTCCAAATTTATCCAGCCTCGTCTTACCCTTGGGACAGTTCTGGAAGAGGAGTCGAGGTTGAGCTCCAGGTAACTTTGCGGGTTCTTGTCTCGACACTCCAAGGTGGCTGCTCCTTGTGAGACGACAAAAATTGATCAGTGGTATACTACGCGTGAAATGATGGTCATGTCAATACAGGTGCTCATACTATCTAGAAATTTCATGAAGAACATTAAACGTCTAGTCGGAACCAAAGCTGGTATCATCTTCCACATCCTTTCTCTCTCCCTCGTAGTCCACATCGCCAGCGCTCTCGCGCACGCCTCGCACTCAGATACTTCTGCGCTACGGCGAGATTCCCCAAACCGTGTATCATCAGCACCCGAAGCCTGACCAAAATCATACAACGGTTGTCCAAGCTCCTCCGCAACATACAAAGGATCAGTGCAACCACGCTCGCGATCAAAGAGATAGTGTTGAGTGGCCAGCGCCACAAGTTCCGAGAAATCTCTCCTGCATGAGCGATGCGTATGTGTGTGATGCCCCAAAAGAAGCGAATGAGAATGCGATCCCATGGAGCGAATGAGAGTTGTGATCGCGTGCTGCGATGCCTCTTTTCCCAAAGCTAACCTTTGCAGGTCTGCATTTGATAACGGCAGGTCTGCGATAGAAGGGCCACTCTCGTCGTCCTGCTCGAAAAGTTGGGTATAGTGGTATCGTGAAAGGTCATAAAATGCAGAAGGCAGGAGGCTTGGCGCATTGACTTCTCGTGCAAGAATAACGACATCCTGAATGCGGATGAGCCACGCCGTATCAAATGTCAAAGAGGCAACCTACTGCTGGGGAAGGGTATATATTGGACATTCCAGGACCACTTTGCATCTCGTCAGCACGAGCAAGGTCCTCTCTAGCGTCCCATCCCTTGAGTGAAGTCGGCCAAGCCCTGCTTAAGTGAACAAGGGCTTTAGTTCTCAACGAATCAACAAGGTACTTGGTTGCAAGTCGAAGTATCCCCGAGACCATGCGAAAATCGGCAGAGTCATTTTTCCCAAAGTTTCTGTACAAAAGTCGTCACATGCAAACGTAGCGCACTACATTAGACCTACGGGCCATCATAAAGTGCTGTAAGGAGATTCTCAACGTCCTCAGCTGTGTCGTACAATCGCAGAACAGGACACCCTTCTATTTCATTGGTTGTATCTATTTGTAGTGCGGGGTTTCTCTTGGCAACCACGGCGGTCGAAGAAGACGTCGTACTATCCGCACTGGGCTGTGGCAATGAGAAGAGATCGCAGAAGAAGGGCGAGTGGCGAGCAAGTTGAGACTTGTGCACGCGAAACAAGGTGTCTTCTGCTCTCAAAACGATCTATTAAAGCCCAATTATGACCCGAGGATTGTCTCAGTTTGTACTCGATCACAAGCGGTTCATAATACGCACCGAACCATCACAAAACCACAAATCCGTATGTTTTGAAGGCTCAGCAAGTGCATTGTCTCCTGTGGAGGCTGCAATTTGCGCGTGCCTGTCCACGGAGGATTTTCGGTGAATGGGCTGACCTGCGCGATAATCCATTGGGCGGAGGACTTCTAGGGTGGGTAATGCCCGCTCGCGGAGATCATAATTGGAGTTGGGTAGTAGCTCGCTTGCATCATCAACCGACGTTAACGCAAGACAACGCCCGGCAGCACTAGGTAGGCCAAGTAGAAAGAAGATTATCTTGTACCGTGTACTGCTTGCTAATCGTTCGCAGGTAACTGCATGCTGAGGGCAGGGGCGTGGAAGCATTGCCTCAAGCCGCTTTAGCTCGGTCACTGCCTTGGCAGAAGCGAAATGGAAATAACGTTTATTCTTAGATTCTTACATACACGGGCGTGTCATGGTCGGTTTGACCATTATAACCTAATCCTTGATCAATGATTGGTATCATGGGATGTGACAATCCAATTCCAAACTGCACACCCGAACCCTGCACAGCCCTGCACCCAGGAAACAACCTAACCTATTAGTAAACCACGCGCCATCCCCGCGGCGCAGGTCAAAATTAGCATGTCAAAACAACGCCACCAGAATTAGATTATTACCTGGTGAGACCAGCAGCATCAGCGTTGAACAAATCAGTATCGCCTGGGTCAGAGCTACTGTCCGCATATTGCAAGAACGTCTCGTACTGCCATCCAGCAAGAAGCGTGCCAACTGAGGTCGAGTAGATAGTGATCCGGAGGAGATTGGTCGTCCCGAATGCAGCGCTATTGCCGGTACAGGTCGTCCACCAGTCCGTCGTAGTGTATATGATCAGGTAGCTATCAGAGCCCAGAACATCGGTCAGCACCATAGAATTATTTGTCGTGTTGTAGATCCTACTGGCGAGCCGTAGCAGTCCAAGTGTCGGAGAAGGATTTTATGCAGGATACCATCAAAGACGCGGTCTGGCCATAGTATTCACTGCCGCTGGGAGTGTCTATCCATAGATGAGCTCGTTGCAAGTACCAGGTAACATTGGCTCACATTTGATATCGAGTGCACCAGGGAGGGTGATACCGTCACTGGCAGCAGACCAGCCACCTGTGTGGAGTTCAACTCAGACATTCATAGGGGCACCACTCGCTGAACAAACATACCACCGTGAGCGAGAAAGCAATTAGCCTGGGTAGCACCATTAGACAAGTCAGGGTGAGCAAAGTGGTAACCACCACAGATGAGTCCAGCGTGAGTCGCACCGATGTACTGATTACTGAATCAAGAAGAAATATAACCTGCGAGGGACCTCCGTTTAACATGGAGTCTCGATTCTAAGCGAAGGGAACATTTACTTGTGCCTTTAGTAGCCTTGATATAGACAAAGTCTGACACCGTTGTTTTTAACGGTCGTCCAGTCGACGTTCCTGTGCCTCGTGGTGTAGCGCACTGGCCAGGGCAGTCAATGCAAGGAGAATGAGATATATTTCATCTTGAGAATCATATGAGTTCAGTCAGAGCAATATTAATATTGCAGAAGAACACAACTTTTGATAGTTTAAATATGACTTGATGAAGACATACCAAGACACACAGATCATCTATATATCCTACTCATGATCAGAGCATGTGCAATAACTAGGCCAACACAGCTCTTGAAAGTCCACGGGAATATATATGACATGGCTCCTGGGAAAGTGGAGATTGGCAGATACCGTAACCAGTGTCAAAATTTTGTCGGGTGGATGTCAAAAGACATGAAAATGATGAACTAGAGAATGACCTCAGTTCAATCGATCAAATCAGGTTGAAGACCGTTTGGGCTGCGGAGATCGACAAATTAATTGATCACCCCAGGTTTGTGATGCAGTGCATGTGCCATCAGAGCCTATCAGGATGTATCAGGGAGCAACATCTATGTCCAGAACGCACATTCTGTGAGCCTGAAAAACCTTGCGAGATGAAAGACCAATAACCAAGTGAGTACCACATGTAGCACCCGTGCACGAGGGAAGCGTATGACGCTGTACATAGCAAGCAACTCATGTACGTGAGGCGTGAACGCATGAAAGGCCTATGTTCGCGATGCAAATCATCACCTTCCAGAGGTCACAGGGCCCCAGCATAGTGCTCGATATCTCACCGGCATCATGAATTGAGCGTCCAGGCAAGGCGCGCAGGAAAACCTGATTCGTGAAAATAAAAACCAACATATGAAGATCCGGGAGGAGAGCTATGACCTGTCTCACTTTTAATTGTAGCTGCAGTCAGATCTTGAAAGACAGTCGTTCCAGGGCTCCGGTACATATAATTGTATATTATGATCATTGGTACTTTTTAGATCAAACAGATCTCGTATCCTCTTTACGATTTGGGACGAAGTTTTCTGGTGAGTCGAGGGGGCGGAAAGAAGCGGAAGTCTCAGTGACTAAGTCGAGGGCAATAGTGGTGAGCCGTTGCGATGAGGTGACAGATGGAATTGGACTGCTAAAGTCGTCATCTTCCGGATCGCCAGGTTCGCGGATGAGCACCCGATATGCATAGGTCACAACCACCAGCAGGTTGCAAATTATCAGGGAAGACAATACCTAGACACATGAATTTAAATTTTGAATGGATGACATATAGGCGAGACTCCACCTCTAAATTCACTGCAATTGTCTCTACCCACGTAGAGACTAGAAAGTGGGCGATAGCACGGAACAAGGAGAACATCGACATGAGAATGCTAGATGAAGATATCGCGAGAATCATTCGCCGCTGTCGAGAGGGCAGGTTGACGTTCCAGAGCAATCGAAAGGAAAAGACCACCAGAATAGTGTCGGCGACACACTTGGCTGATTGAATAGTAAGGTGAATGTAGGATGAAGCAGAAGGTGGTGTGATGCCTACCTACGAGCTGGTACGCTGCTATCGGTTGCCCGACGCGGCAGGAAGGACAAGGCAATTGGTACCATTGACTGCTCGATTCAAAATTCCGCGCCTTTTGCACGATAAAGCCTGCACACGTCAGGGAGAAGAGAATCGCGAAGCCCATGGACAAGCGATAAAGACGCTGCGTGTGCCGCGCAATCCGTGCGATGGCAAACAGTATGCTCATGCGTGCAGACCTTCAAGTTTGTTTGTTTTCCTAGACCGAAATGAGAGAGGAACAAGATCTCACCAATTTACCGCCGGTGGACATGAACGCCGTCCCCCAAAAAGAAACTATACACGTCGTTCCGTCTATGTCAAATCCATTTATGTGATCAACACAGCGAGATCAACAAATGATAAGGTACGCACGACAGAGCAGATGAACCCAGGAATTAATCAGATGCGCCATGCCACACAATCCAGTAACAGCAGCCCATGCGTCCTCCCACCAGAATCTCCCGATGTGTAGTCGGAATATGACGCGAAAAATTGTGAGGGCGATAGCCATCCCTTGTGCAACGCTGATCACCGCTGAGTTTGAGTAAGATAGGATCCTGATAGTGTAAGAGTATCAACGTTTTGGGCTATGTACCCACCCTTCATCTGTATCATTGAGGGCGACAATATCATCTTTGCTGAGGATGATGATATTCTGAATCAACAGTTGGCATTAAGCGCTAAGAACCAGTCAATGGGCGGTCGCACTTTAATTGCCCCATTTACTGAGAAGATTGTAATCTCGAAGTTGACGGCAATTACTGCAGGGCCGAAGTCAAGTTGACAGAATTTGACAGATAGGCGCTCATCGACCTTCTCATGCACATTGACGAGAGGTCGTACTCTATGCCATGGATGGGTGCCACATCATTCCGCCCGACGTTGCAATGACCGCGCCCAATACATTAAAGATCGAGAAAGTAAGACAGTGGGCCGCTGTTCCTCTAATGCAAGACAGCCAGGCCCGCCTTTTGTCAGTATACAAGTCCTGAATATTAATATTGAATACCTTTGACAAAGTGGTTGTCATATGCCAGACTAGTCAGGAACGATGGCCTAATAATATTTGGAAGTTTAAATTGACGTCAGCATCATCTGCTTCTGGAATCTGCTGCCACTCCTGCGAACTTTGTGGCACATGCTAGACGCGGTGAACAGATTTGGAGGTGGTGGGTGGGAGTTCAGAGTAGGGGCAAGCAATATTAGTATTGTGATGTCACGATGGGCGGGTTGAACGTTGAAGCACGGAGGCGACTTTGCAAACAAACGGGTGGAGCGCTGCACGTATGGGGTGGGGTAACGTGGCAAGTATGACGGGAGGTAACGCGTAAGTCCGAGGCAAGGGTGGTTCAGAAGCCTAAGCTGCATCATCCCTGGGTCTCTGTTGCCACGGGTTTAGTAGATGAAGCCTGGGTGCCAATAGTCCTAATCTGAAATGATATTACTGTATCATCGCCGCACTCGGAGTAGTAGTAGAGCCGGGTCAAGATACAGTGGCGGAGATGTTGTTTGTAGCTACAACGGGGATACAATAACAATCTGGCAGCATACGGATAAGTATGATACTGCAAGTGGACCGAATCTGTGAATTTAGGTATTGCTTGAATTTAACTTTGGTTTATGACGAAAGGAACTACTAACTTGACGTGGCAAGTTCCGTAATGGGTCAACCGATTAGGCCCGTCTGGACAATCATGCAATGACACTCGTCCATCTTTCACTCGACAAAAACCTTTCTGGATCACAGTTCTGCGGGAGACTTGCGGCCGGATGAGCCCAAGAGTCTTTGTTCATCGAGTCTCTTTGCATGACAACCGGGGCATGAAAAAAGGTGCACGTGGCGCGCACTCTTTTGTTCTCATTCCAGGTTTGGCACCGAGAACAACACAAATTTTCGGGGGTAGTATAAAGCACATGATTTATTCTTCTAGCAAGCGAGATTCACTTTTGCTCTTCCTGTTCTCCTCATCTTCCTGGCTGCGGCGAGCTGTGCTTGCACCTTTCTATCGCTTTGCGAAACCCTCTTTTTAACTTACTTCAATTCTATACTGATTTTCAGTTGCTTGCTGTTAAATCCTGAACGGCTTTCCTCGACGAAAAATAATAATTCTAACGTCTTTGGCTACGATGCAATTCACTACTCTTGTTGCATTCGCTCTTGCCGCTACCACCTCTGTGCACAGTGCTCCAGTCCATAAGCGTATTGCGCAGGTCATCTCTGACTCGACTACCAAGTGGGAGGCAGCATGTGTAAGTTCCTGCAGAAGCCTCGGCTCGTCATATCTCATAATGTTCATCCCAGGATGCTGCTGGCGGAGGCACCCAATGCAACCCAGTTGCTGTCGCGGCCTTTAGCACTCTTCTTGCTGCTCCTGGTCCATGTGAGCAGCAGGATGCCGCTGACAACATGGTTGACCTCGCGAAGACTCTCAGTAACAACGCAGACATGATCCAACTTGCTCAGATCTTCGCCCAGCAGCCCCGAAACTCTGTTCGTATTTTTCAAGTCCATTTTTTCTACCAACACTTACAGAATTCCATGCACACAGCCTACATCACAGAGCGTGCCCTACTGCCAATCAGCCCCGCGCAATGCTGAGCTCAATGGGCTCTTCCAGTGTCAGTTCCAGGGTGATAACCCAACGACCTTCGTCGGTGGCATTGCCGTTGGCGGGTAACGGGACCATTCCTTTCGGTATGAGTGCACCTGTCAACCCTGCTGGTTCTTGCCTCGCAAATCCCTCCGGTCCCATCGCTGATGGCACACAACTCGTGGATCTCACACAGAATCCTGGTGTCGGTGGCACAACTGCTTCCAACAACACCACTGGTGGAAGCAATAGCACCTCGACGGTGACCACTCCTTCCGCCACACCTTCGTCTGATTCTTCGAATTCTGACTGCGAGGAAGATCCAACCGAGTCTACGCCTACCGCTTCGCCCACCATGGCAGCTGATAGCGCGGCGGCGGCGTCTGCAACACCCTCGAGCACTAATGGAAATTTCAAGCTCACCAACGGCCAGAACGCTCAGAAGCTCAACGCGCAGTTCGCTACGCTAACTGCTACCTCTTTCTGCACCGGTGAGTCTGCCTTACTCAAGTAGCATACCATTTTCTAACATGCTATGCAGAGGGTACCAATGCATGCGTCAACGGCGCCTTTGCGCAGTGCGTAGGGGGCACGTACGTGGCTCAATCTTGTGGGTCGGATCTCATCTGTGCTGCCCTTCCTCTCGTCAACTCTGCTGGAACATCAATCACCTGCACCACGAATGCTGATGCTTTGGCTCGCATTGCTGCCACTGGCGCGCAGGGTGGCCTCACTGGATGAGGTTGTTATTGAATACTGGCATAAAGTCAGTGATCAAGTCGCTAGTCGGCATTGTGTCATGTTTTCAAATTAATACGGTATAGCAACTACCATTATGTAGCGTTATACTACTTACGACATTTGTATCTGTATTGGTGGTGCTAGTCGCTGCATATATTTGTTGTCTACTAAAGTGTATGATTAATGCGAATCTCCCCTAGCCAAACCATATAGAGGGAAGGCAGTTGTTCCTTCTTGACGTGAAGTGAAAAGTGGATTGTTCTGCTCGTAGATATTGTTCGAGGATTGCTTCACGGTGAAACAGTCCTCGGACCATACTCATGAGCAGCACAAGTAGATAGGACCGACATTCAGATATCCAAGGCTAGAGAACTGCTCTGGTTCGAATCGAGACTTCGCATGATCGATGATATCCATACGAAGACCAAATGATGAGGATAGGGCCGTGGATAAAATCTGATGAGATCTATGCAGTTGCAGAATAGTGGAGCCTTTGCGGACCTGAGACCGTCTGGCTTATTCTCAGCAACCAGACCAGTGGTGACTGCCGATTACCAATCAATTCGGACCTCGAACGATAACTTGGATGTAGGAGGTATGTACTGCGGGCCATATCTTCTTGACTGTTATCAAGTTGTCTCGGCAGTGGTTTATCAGCTATCGATGCAGACACTCACAGAGATTATCATCTTCTGAACCCAAACATATTCCATGTGCCTGTAGGCTGTAACATCGATCTTCTTGACATGGTCGCTTTTACATGATCGCCTACGCAAGATGAAGATGAAGCTGGGTGAAGGTTGGGTGAAGGCAACCCTTTTCTGCGTGGTGGTGGTGCTGACATAAACTGATTTTACAAGCACATGACTAAACACGTCGCGATTGAGTCTGCTTATTCGTGGCAGTGCCGATTAATTTACATAAGGTCTCGTTGCATAGAGCATAAATATCCCGTGCCCGCCAGACATCCCTCCCATCCTGCGTCCTCGATTTACGTGCATTTCTTTACGACTTATTCTTCACTAGCTTCACTCGTCAACTTCAACTTGTCTTACAATCAGCCCATACTGTCATATTGATATATCCAAACTGGCTTATTAGCCAAAAACCCTGATACATCATTCAGTTTAGCTATCCACTGTAACACTATCTAGGTTGATGTATCCTTGGGTGGATCCCAGCAGTGGCTTCTGTATACATCATTCTCAGCATATTTTCGCATTTTTGGCCACCTACCCCCCCACAATATTCTCACACTTCATAGCTCCGCATTTTGGGCCACCTACTGTGGGAATTTCCCCACAACACCAAAAACATCGCCCATTTTGGGAATCTCCACAATATCAATTATTCCCACACCCTCCCCACCTTACTGCAGCTTCACCACTACACGACAATAGGTCCCCCCTTGTATCTAAGTAGTAGTTTGGTATATACATGTATAATATACTATAATAGACCGCTTTTTCTGTTTATTTGTATGTCTCCTCCTCCTCCAGGGGCCATTTAAAATAGGTTAGGGTATAGAACACTTTCGCACTTTTGCCCCTTTAATAGAGAAGTGTTCTAGGATCTTCAGACCATGTTTAAGAATATATATGAAGAGATTCCAAGCCTTATTTAACCCCCTGAAGCGCCCTACATCAATAGATATGGCATATATACAGAAAAATACAAATATGTTCTCATGTATTAATTTCTAGGTACAGAGCCTTTGAAACATGATTCCCAGCATCTATCCAACAGTATTAAAAATGTATCAGGAGCTCAGGACCATAGGATAAGACCCTGCTGTGTAGTACATCCCCCCTCTCCTGATGGTTTACCTCCTGTGAAAATTTTTCCTGTAGGACCGGACCTCAAGTATTGTATGGGGTCCATTCCTATGCATATTTAGAGTATATCTATCACCTAGCTACTCCAGAACATCTACAGGGTCCTTCCACAGGAACATAAATATAATATATCGCAATTTTGACAATTTTGATGCTTTTCATTCCCTTACTCTTGCAAAAATGATCCAAGCTGGTCATATATCATCATTGGGGCACATATACATGCTTTGTATGCCCAGGATCAGCTCATAATAGGCCGGAGATTTCAGATCATGTGTATGCTTACTATTTCTACTGATTAGGGGCCCATACCTTTAAAACATCGGAATTTAATGATCAGACATCTGTAGTACATCTCACATACATTCAGCATCATAGGACTCAAGTTATAGAAAGATCTACCCAGGATTGAGGACTGGGGAAGTAAATAGATAAGAAATTGAGTGTGGGAAACTTCAAATGCTCAAAACATCGAAAGTGGTCAGTTAAGAAGTTGTAGGACTTGTATGCTGCATCAACTGACTTCACTACCACATCCCTTCCACATCCCTTCCACTCTCAGGGCAAAGTGTAGTATAGGTTCCTTGTGTAGTCTAACATGTATTCTATCAAAATTTAATGAAATATTTGACCTATATCATATATAAATGTGAATTCTGTGTGATATGTGTCAATTGTCACTTTTCACACATATGTTCTTTTGCATTCATTTCACTCAATACTTGATGGATCTTTCTGAAATTTGAGATCTGTGATACTGAATATATATGACATGCACTCCAGGTGTCTGATCATTAAATTTCGATACCCTAAAGGTATGGGCCCCTAATCAGTAGAAATAGTAAGCATACACATGATCTGAAATCTCCGGCCTATTATGAGCTGATCCTGGGCATACATAAATCTTTATAGGACAACAGCAACTGTTCCATGTTCCAGTGGCGACCTACTCCAAGGCACGAAAGCACTCACGATTGATGACTCGATTGGACCCCCCAGCAGACGCAGGATCATCCTCAAAGACAGATACTGGACGACGTTTGCAGCCACCGACGTTTTGCTTCTCACGGACGCTTCGACTCTAACGACCACGAGGCTCTCTCTCGGCAGCATCCCACCTCAGATTGTCACTGCCCCCCCATTGAAACCCCCGGATACGAAACGGTATCACAATTTCCGCCCAGGCAGACACAAGGTACAGTGGCTCAAAAAACCGTCCGTATGTTTTGGCATTTTTCACTATCTATAATATTGTGTGAGAACAAACAAATGCCTCAAAAACATGCTTATACCACATTGTAGTATGGCTTCAGGGCTTTCATTTGAGCCCTACACCGTGGGAATCGGCGGAGATATGGTGGAGATATAAGGCTTATAAAATGATGACTCATGTGGACAGTTTTTTGAGTGTATATTAAAACTATATAAATCATTATTTATGACACCATAAAAATCATGCCACTATTATATAAATTATAAAGTGGTGTCATTATGTTATTTTATGACTATATCTAACTATATAAACCAGAATATCTCATGTATCATAGTCATAATCACCATGAAAGCCATCTCCTCTGCTCAAAGAGATAATATCCTCTCTCTGTCTTATGCTGGCCTCTCTGCTCGCCAAATTTCCTCTAGAACTGGAATATGCAAGTCCACTGTGGCCAAGTTCATCAAAGAAAGCCACCCAGACAAGGAAAACTCTTGTGGAGGACGTCCATCCAAGCTTACCTCTACTGACAAAAGGGCTATTATCCAACATATCACTACAGGAAAGGCTGATAATGCTGTCCAAGCCACCCATTATATCAATTCCACCATCACTACCCCTGTCTCTTCACAAACTGTGAGGAATGTTCTCAAGGCAGCTCATCTCAAGGCAGTAACAAAGAAGAAAAAGCCTCTTCTCTCCATCAAACATAGGCAGAGAAGACTAGCCTTTGCCTTAGCTCATCAACACTGGACTGTAGAGGACTGGAAGCATGTTATATGGTCAGATGAGACCAAAATCAATAGGATTGGGTCAGATGGGAAGGTGTATGTATGGAAAAAGAAGGGAGATGGCCTAACAGACAGAGAGGTTAATGGGACTGTCAAGTTTGGAGGAGGTTCTTTAATGGTATGGGGCTGTATGGGATGGAATGGTGTGGGAATGCTTGCTGAGGTTGAGGGGAAGATGAATGCTGAGCAGTATGTGGACATTTTAAATGACCACTTGCTGCTTAGCTTGGCAGAATCAGGGATTGATGAAGAAGATATCATTTTCCAACAGGATAATGATCCCAAGCACACATCCAGAAGAGCTAGGGAATGGTTTGAAGAACATAACATCAATGTTCTTGACTGGCCAGCACAGTCTCCTGATGTCAATGTCATTGAACATCTCTGGGGAACACTCAAGAAAAAGCTTCAAGCCTATGAAAACCCCCCTAAAGGAGTATGGGAGCTTTGGGAGAGAGTAGCAGTGGAATGGGGGAAGATCACAGCTGAGGATTGCCAGAAATTAATTGAGAGTATGCCTAGAAGGATAGAGGCAGTAATTAAAGCCAAGGGAGGTCATACAAAATACTAGAATACCTGGTTATTACTGTAAAATACTTGAGTCAAAAAACTGTCCGCATGAGTCACCATTTTGTGAGCCTTGTATCTCCACCATATCTCCACCGATTCCCACGGTGTAGGGCTCAAATGAAAGCCCTGAAGCCATACTACAATGTGGTATAAGCATGTTTTTGAGGCATTTGTTTGTTCTCACACAATATTATAGATAGTGAAAAATGCCAAAACATACGGACGGTTTTTTGAGCCACTGTATGGTCATTTTCATTGCAAAACCAAGTACCGCACTCATCATTTGTTAGCACGAATCCAGATCTGCTCACTTGGCCGCTGTCCGTGACAGCATCAAGCGTGCTCACGCCAAGCAACTGGAACACATTACTATGATTGGTGAGTGATTACCGGTGACATCTGCTCCGCTTGCTGATTTCATATAGGTCACCTTGAACAACTCCATGACGAGCTCCTCCGACCAAGCCACTCTTGTTGACGGTTGGGCAGCTGCCATGGCACAGCTTGGACTCACTTCTATGCTGTCGCCTGGACCACCGCTTCTACACCAGACGACGCCCAACCCAGGAACCTTGATCGAAATTATTCAAG